CTTTCTTTCTTTCTTTCTTTCTTTCTTTCTTTCTTTCTTTCTTTCTTCTTTCTTTCTTTCTTTCTTTCTTTCTTTCTTTCTTTCTTTCTTTCTTTCTTTCTTTCTTTCTTTCTTTCTTTCTTTCTTTCAGATTCTATTTATCTATTTGAGAGAGAGAGAGAGCACAAGTGCAGGAGCGGGGAGAAGGGCAGAGGGACAGGGAGAAGCAGACTCCCCGCTGACCAGGGAGCCAAAGAGGGGCTCCATCCCACGGCCCCGAGATCATGACCTGAGCTGAAGGCAGATGCTCAACCAACTGAGCCACCCAGGCGCTCCAACCCTCTGTGATACTTTCTTTTTCTTTTTTTTATAAACTAAGGTAGTGGCTAAGGTATTTTTTTTTTTTTAGATTTTATTTATTTTAGAGAGAGAGAGAATGAGAGATAGAGAACACATGACAGGGAAGAGGGTCAGAGGGAGAAGCAGACTCCCCGCTGAGCAGGAAGCCCGATGTGGGACTCGATCCCGGGACTCCAGGATCATGACCTGAGCCGAAGGCAGATGCTCAACCAACTGAGCCACCCAGGCGCCCTCTGTGATACTTTCAATCATCACTCCATACTTAAACCTGTTTTGACTTGAAAGGCCCTCCACTGTGCCCATGCAGCCTATTATGCCACAGTCATAGCACTTACCATTCTGCACTGTAGTCCCTGGTTTACTTGCCTGTCTCTCCCATTAGATGGCAAGCTCCTTCATAGAAGGGGCAAGTTCTCATTTGACTTTATTTCTTTGATTCCTTGTTACAGTGCCTGACACATAGGAGACCTAGTAAGTAAATGGATAAATGAGTAAAAATTTCTGTTTCATCACGAGAACATGTTCAGGCTCACCTACTTGAAGAATGTGAGAAACGATGGAAAAGAGCCAAGGCCTTTCTAGACCTAAGGACAGACAGCTGGTCCCCAAACACGAGTGTTCAGCCAAAATGAGTAGATCCACCTACCAAACCCACAGCTGACTCAGAAAATGAGTGAGCCCAGCTAATTCTAGAAGAGCTACCCAACTAACAACACACTGACTCCTAAGAAATAATAAATGGTTGTTAGGCTGCATTTTTGTAGCAATAAATAACTGGTACAATATCTGTGAGTTAAATTTCATCTGGGGATCACCAACTTGAGAGCTTTGTTAGCTAAATAAGAGATTTAAAATCCAAGGACTGCTTTTACGAGTTCCACTGTGAATGTGAAGATTGGATAAATTTATAAATCAGTAGAAATGAAATTTCTCACTACTTGCTATAAGACACTTTAAAAACTAATTTATCATTTTTAAAATACTTTAAAGGAAAATCAAAAGTAAAATTACCAATAACCTCTCTATTCCAACACACCTATGTTAATTTTCCATGTTTCTATTCAGCCTTTACCCACATGCATATGTATTTTCATAGGGTTCAAATAACAACAATGTTGGATTTTGTTTTAATATTAGAAGGAAGTACCATATTCATACTTAATTATTTTAATGGTTATGTAATAGCTCTTCAAACAGTTATACTATAATTAATCGTTTCTCTATTATTAGGTTATTTTGTTGTTGTTGTTGCTGTTATCAACATCAGGACAAAGACAGCTTTTTTTTTCTTTGGTATTTTTATTTTCAGTATGAAGGCCAGGATGGTGTCTTTCTTGTTTATTGCCCAGGTTCCTAGTACTTAGCAAAGTATACAGTGGACACCTAATAAACATTTGTTGGATGAAAGCAATGTATGAATGAACAAATGGGATTTACAGAAATAGGCTTCCTAGTTTCACTTGCTTCAAATGCTTTTTAAATTGAATTATCACGATTAAATTAGATTCAAAATTCACATCATTTTGAAAGAAAAATTTATTTGCATCATGTTTTAAATGTATCACTTATAAACAAAGGGATTTGTTATTCACCCTAAAAAGTCTGAGTTAGTTGCAAAGTTGACCCACGGAAATGTATCAGCTTTAACTGAATAGACAAAGAAGGACTTCCAAGGTTTCTGTTCATGAACTGCTTGTACAAATATCACTAGATGAATACCATCTATTCCCAGTCTTCATTCCTTACTCTGCAACACTAGACACTTTTGTCTACTTCTTACTTTTGTCAAATTCGGTCAGTTGTATACTGGTTTATGTGACC